ACTTAAAGTTCCAAATGCCCTGACAAGGCCTTCGTCCCCTTCATTCGATTCCTCAGGTGAGTCGTCCAGCACAAGATATTCCGTGTTCCCACCGACGTGCTCCTCTAGGCTGCCCACTTGAACAACTTCTGACTGAAGATATTCGGCATCATCAATACCCCAACTAATGGTTCTCTAACGGCTTCTCTTGTTATCAATCCCCCACCATAATCCATCCGTAAGTGGGTCATCTTCAAATGGAAATAGTAACCGGTAGTATGAAAGTTCGCGAGGGCTTTGATGGCTCAGAACCGGTACGCAGTGCGCAAGTCTAGAGTTTATTGACCCTGCCTCTGGCATGGTGTAGCCATGACTGTGAATCTTCTTATTGCAATTGAAGGGGCAACGGACTTCGACGCCATGAGCGTCCCATGCCAACACAAGTGCTGCTTCGAGGTGTGCCATTTGAGTATGTGAAACGAGGTATCTAGTAGATGGCGAGCGTCCAGCTTTAGTTTATCTGCGGGCTTGCATGCCCCGCCCCTGCTCCTTGGTATAGGGATTGGCTATGATGGACTCGAGAAGCATGAGGACGTGGTGGGCCTTTTGTTCGGTCAGCGGCGGTACCAACGGCGGGTCTGCGGAGCTCGAGGGCGACGTGATGGTGTATAGCTATGTCACGGAGGCTATCAAGATAGACATGGTCGTGCATTGGACTGCATCTGGAAGTTGTACGATGGCTGTGTCGAAGCTGGTTTCGGCGCTGAACCGTGTCAGCTGACTAAATAAGCGCCGAGTCTCAACCCTGCTCCCAATCCAGAGTTCGGATTTTGTGATATCCCGGAGCGCTAAGCAAGACGCTGCACAGCCACATATCTAACAATCATCACAGTAAATTACACGGAAATGATAAGGCAGGACGTGCAGGGTCATCTTGCATTAGCCAGGATCGGTGATTGCTTCCACTGGAGGTACCGATCGAACTGGCGACCCCGCATGAAGTTGCGCGCAACACCACACGCAAGGCTGATGATGACTTTCTAGCATCGGAGTGAAGTTTTAATGCTCGGATAAGGCCCTTTCACGAGTATTTGGAGTGGTAGGAGCTTATTGGTGGCGCTACAGGGAAGGATCTATGTTACGTCATAGAAGGAGGCTCTTCACGAATCAGGCGCGAAGGCGACGCTGCACACGTAATTTATAGGCTGGAGAGATTCTAGATGTTTAAAAGTAGCCTCATTACAGGATCTATAGAGAAATATAATAAAGCACGAGGCGTGTGCAGAGCTATAGTCGCTTAAAGTCGAAGTACCCCTCGTATTTTCCGGCACGGTGGGTTTTCCGGCACGCGGGGAGGGACGTTAATACTCTTACTAAATGTGTGGAGTAGGTTTAGTTGAAGTGTTCACAAGAGGAGGTGATTCCTCTTTTATAGGAAAGAGCTGCCCTATGCCGTACCTCTGCAGGTACAGAATATATAGAGAATTACTAGGTAATTCAACTCTTTTACCCAGAGAGCTCTCTCCGTGCAACTTAATTACTCTAACTAGTGCATAAGTAACTTCCAAGCTGGCACTAGAGTAGTAATAGTAATAAACCTATATAACAGTTTTAGGGTAGTAAAAACTTACTAGCTTTATTATATATTTAAAACGCTTAAACCTTTTACACTTAGGCTTTAAATAAATATTATCTTCCAGATTTTAGCTAGGCATAATAGAGTGACTTTCTTAATATCTTTATAATCAACATTTACTATAAATAGAGCATTATAGAATAGCTAAATTCCTACTAACTTTATTACTAGTTATATTTAGCTTTAATTAGTTTTAGATAAATAGAATTAACCTACTAGAATATTATTTAAACTCTTTTTATTAACTAGATAACTTACTTTATCTTATAATTAAATTAGATAATACTGTTCTTATGATTTATTCTAAAATATAGACTTCTATACTTAAAGCAGTTAAAACATAAAAAGAATATTAATTATTTTAACTTTTTACTAGCTTTTAGAGTATGCATTAACTGATAAAGGAACTGTAAATTCTAATTTCTAGTCTTTTTTAAAAGAACCTTATCTCTACTTTTTATTATCTAAAAATAGGTAACCCTAAAATACTCTTTCTAATTTTATAAATGCTCTTTTTTAGGCCCGTACTAGGCACTTATTTAAATTAAATAAACTAAAAGGCTATATATATAAATATATTTTTCTAGTAAGCTATTTATTTTATTTTCTATTCTTAAAGTAGCTAGTCTGCTCTTTTAATTATAAAATATTATTACTATACTTACTAGCTTAGTTTTTATACCTAAGGTAATAAATTTACTCTTTTAGAATTAAATAAACTCTAGAGTCTTATAAATTATATTTCTAATCCTAATATATAGAGGCTTAGTTTATTTATGTTAATTAATAATATAGTAAAATTAACAGCCTTTTAAGAGCTCTTTAGAGTTAAAAGATTTTAAAAATTTATAACTAAGTAAAGTATAGATAAAATATATCTTTATTTTAATTCTTCTAGTATTTTCTACAGCAGACTAGTAATTCTTATGGATAGTAATTTTTTTAAATAAAGTTTAAAAATAAAGCTAGCTGTATTTAATAAGTATTATAAAATAATAAAACGTATTATTTAAAGAACTTAAGCTAAGTCTTTAAATAAAATTATAAATAATATTTATACTTATTTGCTCTTTTCTTTTGCTAATATCTTCTATTTCTTTTATACTAATTTTAGTAGCTTTAGATAGATTATATGTTATATTACTATATAGCTTAAGAAAGGCCCCTTATTAACTCTTTTAAAGAGTATATATCTTAAGATAGTAATTATAACTAAGAAGATAACTTTAAGAGCAGAAAGTAAAACCAGAAAGGGTTTTTTATAATTACTAAAAGAAAAAATAATAAAGAATCTATTTAAATAAATCTTAGCTATTAATAAATTTTTTTTTTTTAAATGGTATAATATTTATTAATGCCTACTATAAACGCCTAAAGGAACATTTTATAGATAATTTAAATTAAATATAAAAGAATAAAGAATATATATAAATTTTATTCTTTATAATATATTTCTCTACTTATATTAAGTACACCTATAAGCACTTTTTAGAAACTATTAATAAACCTTTAGATTTTATTAAAGCATTAAGAATATATAATTTTATAGTATTAGACTTTAAAAAATACTTATTAAATTTTCTAATATATATTAAGATATGTAATAAGCTGATGGATTTTGCAGTTCTAGTAATTATTTCTAGCTTTTTTCTAGATAATTATTCTCCTAACACTTATAGTAAGTATTTTCTTTTTTTTAGAAGTTTAAATTATCTAATAGCCGTGTAGTGTTTAAGCCTGCGAATATTTTAAAAATATTATATAATAATATTTTATACTAAGTAAGTAAGGCTAGAGTTATGGTCTTTTTAAAATTTAAAAATATAATTCTTTAAAGTAGCTTTATTAATATGGTTAAAACTTACTTTCTAAAATATTTTAAATAATATTCCTAGTAGATTGCGTAATCTTCCGTAGAGATTTATAAAAATAATATTAGGTACTTTAAAAATTAATAGTGTAATATTTAGAGTACTAATATCTATCTCTATTACTTATAATAAAGACTCCAGTATAGCTTACTATACAAACAGTATATTTATAAAAACTATATTTATAAAAACTATATTATAGTTTTTAAAAATTATTATATAGATAACCTCTAGGAATTCAAAGTTAGCCATTACTTTTTTTATAGAGTGGAAATTTCTAAGGAGGTAATTATAAAAGTATATTTTCTAACTATTAAAATAGAAGTTCTATATATTAATAAAAAAAGCACACGTAATATCATGCTTCTAAAGTTAATAATATAAATAGAAGATTAAATATAGAATCTTATTAGCTCATGAATTCTACTTTGAATGCTATATAAAATAGTATTTAGAATAAGCTTAAGTAAGTCCCTTAACTTACTATTTTAGAAAAATATAGTGCTGACACTTTAAGGCGGCTTAATCACTCTAAGAATATACTATTACAGATAGTCTGTTAATAAGTGCCTATATATTTTTAAGAAATTAGCTAAAAGAGTATTTACATGCTGGGAAGTCTTGAAATTCCCTATTCCCCCCCATATATGGCACTAGCAGCCTTAGTATATACTGATGGTTTTTACTCAGCAGAGAATATTAAGGCAGCTCTAAAACAGGTATATAGTATAGATAAAAGCATTCTAGACTGCTCACACGTGACCTCTATAGGCATAAAAATTAGTTTACTTATTACTACGATCCATAATCCTCCGTCATGTCGCATATTCACTAATTATAATAGGGTAAGAAAGCGGAATGAGGATTAGGATAAAGTCCTAATCTCAAATACTAAAGCGTTCTAACTATATTGAGAAAACTTTATTATAAAGCTAAAAGAGGGCTTTAGAAGAGTACTTGTTTAGGAAATGTAAGAAACACCTACTAATATCTCTACTTAGCTGGAACTAATAAGAGATCCAGCGCACGAGCTACGTCCACAGCTCTTAGATATATTCTTTCTTTCCTCCCATATTCCTTATACTTAACTCTACTTTACAGGTTCTTTTCTCTGAAATATATTCGTGAGGTTGGCACGTTTCAAGACTTAGGGCCTCTTAAAAATAATCTACTGCTTTTAGCACTTTCAGGGGTAGATATAATGTTTCCCCTAATTAAAGAACCAGATTTTGTTATTTCCTTAGGTACTGGTAAACTAGGACTAAGGAACTACAACCTATCTATAAATGACACTTATAGTATCTGGAAGAATGGAATGATTACTAGATTACAAGCTCTAGCTCAAGAGAGTATGCGCGATAAATGAGTGAGATAGGCCTATAAAACAACCAGCCGGCTCATTCTAATTCTCTATAGAATTCATCATCTTAGTACGGAGTTTGAAGGCGCAGAGCTAAGGCTGGATGATACAAGGAGTATGCCCGAGCTTAAAGAGAAAGTCTAAAAAGATCACTCCTTAGCAGAAAAAATTGACGGCATAGCACGCTGTGTGGTTGCATCCCTGTTCTACTTCGAGCTGGACTCAATACCAGAGAGGTTTGATAGGAAGTACGTTGGTACTGGTTATATCCTCTGCTCCCTACGCGGCAATAATCCAGCGCTCAAGCTGCTACTCAACCAACTATCAGACCGGTCAGCCAGATTTTATTTGAATAATAATCTAATCCTTGGAACACTCCACGACCCATCCAATCTCGGCGAAAATGGAAATTTCCGAAAGCGTGTGGAGCTAAACGTTGCCGACAGGTTCACGATTTCCCTTAAACAAGGTGACTCAGAGCCATGCGATATTAGCGCTTCGCCATTCTTGGTAGATAAGTTGATAGAGGCACAGGGTTTGAATGCCGACTTTGGAAGAGCTAACCATCAGAGGAAGAAGAGGGCAGCTAATTGGGGACTTCCAGCTGCAAAACGACAGCGTTATTGAACAAAGTTAATGCATAGTCACTGCTCTCCGGCGATATGGGGGTCTTTGGTCAACAAACTGCTCCAGGGAGGAAACAAGGGAAGCTTTAGCCGGCTGTAGAAGAAATTTAGCGGAATCCATTCCATGACTTATGCAATAATACATCTATGCACTCACACCTAAATTAAACTGCTTATACATTTGTTCGCACAGGATATCAAAGTGGCCTCCCTTTACAAAGTTGTCAATAAGTTTCTTGGTAGTGAATTGCTTTGACGGATATTCAGAATGTAAAAGAGAGGGGGGTAAAGGGTTGATTGTGACTTAAGAGTGCACATTCTTAGAGATCTGAGGTCTAAGTATTTTCATGCACCAACCAGGTTGGGCGTTTTTTGTTGCACTGTCTTCAATCAATAATCTCTATCCCAGCGTAACGGAACACCCTGCGTGCCGGAATAAGATCGAGGTACTTTGACTTTCAAACGACGCAGAACCTACGCACAGGTTGAATATCTTATAATTATGGTGCAAATATACTCCGTAGCTATTTCTAAATAGTCGAGAGCCTTCTGAACTAAAATTACATAAGTATGGCTGTCCTATCGCTCGATTCACGCTAAGTGCGCTTTGATGCCATGACCGAGACTCTTCTCCATAATACCATCATCATGATTTTTATGGCTTTCAAATTCATGAAAAGGGTTGATCCGAGCCATGCAACTCTATTATAGTGTTAGAAAGCCATAACCAACAATGTATGTAGTGTAGGAGGTAAATCCGCGACGTAGGTCGGTACCTGCGAGCGCCGTGCAACCACGAACGCCCGATCTGACTGCGTTCTTATGTAACTTTGCAACTGTAAGCAAAGCTTGGTCATTGAGTTTTTTAACTCAGCCCCAGGTCTCTTCGCAACTGCGTGGCGTGTTCAAGCCAGTGACACCATACCTCATGCAAGCGCCTAGCCGTCTAAGCTAAAGCGAAGGCACAGCCTCAGCCTCAGGTGCACAACAAAGATATCGTCCCTTATCCCGCAACGATCCACTTCTGAAGGATAGGGTCATCCCCAGCCTTCAACCTTAATTACACTCGCTCAATACCATAAAAAATGGTCACTCACTCCGCGGACGAAACCGTCTTCATTCATTCTCCCCTGAACTACAAAGCCAATGCCATAAGATTCGTAAAACTTCTCCCGCGCTCGAGGCCGAGCGATCCGGTGCAATGTACACTCATCATCGAAGATCTCCACCCGGGGATCGAGTTTCACGCTCTGTCCTACGTGTGGGGACCGCGCTCACACAACAAGATCCTCATCGATGGCTCCAGCTTCGAGGTCCGCAACAATTTGTACCATTTCCTCAAAGAAAAATCATTGGACCGCGATTTCTGCCTCCACAAGCGCTTCTGGGTCGATCAGATCTGTATAGATCAAGAGAATGTCAAGGAGCGGAATCATCAGGTCAACCAGATGGCGCAGATTTATTCTTCAGCTAGGAGAGTGCATATTTGGCTGGGTCAGGAAAGAGGAGCAAGTGACGGTGTCATGGATGATATTCAAACATATAAATCCCCGTATAGATTGCCGAACGCCCTGCAATGCTGGCCGCCGCCGGACCATGAGGACGCCATGTCGATGGGCGTACAATGTTTCGCATATCTCTCCGAAGCGCGATACTGGAACCGCTTATGGATCATCCAAGAAATCCTTCTCGCGAAATCCATCAGCGTTATGTACGGGTCCAGGACCATTCCATGGAGTCAATTGGAGGTCCTACTCAACGACATCCTGTGGTACCTGAAAGACGCGCAAAAGCCCGTAGATGACATCGTCTACGCAGAGTCGCTGCGGTCCTCTAATCTCGGGCGCTTCATACTCCAACGGCAGAAAATGCTTTCGGAAGGCGTCGATGGGGCAGCTAGGCTGTTTGACTGGTACAACGTCATCCAACTATCCCGCGAGTCCTGCTGCACCGACGTACGAGACCGCGTATTCGGTGTTCTGGGCCTGGTCGAACCGTCGTTCCGCATCCCTGTAGACTACTCGCTATCTACAGAACGCATTTGTCGCGAAGTGCTGGCCACCTACGCACGGCACTACCTCGACAGCGGACGTGCCGCTAATGCCATCGCGTCGCCCCTTGACAGGAAGAAGACGCTGCTAGGTTTTGCGGAGGCGCTAGTCATTGCGCTCGAATGCTCCGACCTGATGACGATCGAGTCGAGAAAGATCATCGAGAAGGAGATTGCGAGGTCGAATGGCGGCTTATTGGGTTTATTGGGTCTGCCCGGGCTCCGGAAAGTGGTGGCGCGCGCGCGGCGGTTGAGGGAGGAGGAGCGGCAAACTCGGCGGCATCGGCATACCAAAGAAGAGGAAATTATAGATGAAGACGTTGCGATAGAGCAGGAAGCAGTCAGCATCAAGCACGCAATCCCTAGGGAAGTGCCTTCAAGGCGGAGCTAGATCTCTTGCTCATTCAGCGACGTGTCACGCGAAGCACCAATCCAAACCTGCGTGAATGTCCCGACGATAACGATAACCGTCTATTAAAGCAGATGATGGGTTTCCGCATAGTATGACAGCCTTTCCGCTACTATCGCTTCGAGGTTTTTGCTTAACGTCGATAGGAGGGAGATGGGTCTGTATGCCTTTGCTATTGTGTAGTCCTGTTTGTTCTACTTCCTTAAAGGGACGATCTTGGCGGTTTTCCACCCCTGTGGTAGCTCAGCTGTATTCCATGAACGCTGGAACAAGGCTAAAATATGTTGCTTCAGCACGGGCCATAGCTGCTGCCATACCACCGCAGGCAACTCATCTGGTCCTGCTGCTTTGTACGGGTTAGACGAGAAGATCGCCCTTTGCACCTCTACCTCTCGTAGTAGTTCCATCTGAAGTTTATCTTCGTAGGCCTCTACTTTCGTTTCAGCAGGAATGTCGGGCTAGCAGCTCCAGAGAACACGTCACTCAATCTTGTCGACACTTCTAGGATCTTACCGCAATGTCATTTACACGTAAATAACAGGATGTGAAAGGATACATCATATGCCGCATATGTAAGAGATGTCAATAAAACCCTCGTCATGTACTGGTGACGATGTACCTGCTCCTTATCGGCCAAACTCCCGGAATGCTAGTTATTGAGGCTTGAGTACTAACAAAGTCTGATGCAAAAGTTACTTTATGATGGAACATTCATTTTATGGCCCCGAAATTCGAAGAGCTTCCGGCATTCATGATATAGTAGGGAAGTCCCGTTCCAGCGTCTCTCCATGTGATAAGAGGATCGCCCGAGTAGATGGCCAAACCACATGTATTTTTGTCAATGTAATTAAGAATTATTTAAGCGGAGAGTAGAAAATATGTGAATATTAAATATAGGTTTATAAAGGAATAGAGCAGTGTATAAGATGTTGATTATTATAAGTATTTCCGGCACGATGGGTTTTCCGTTACACAGGGATAGAGATTAAAGTACTAATATAGAATTTTAAATTACCTTTTGTTCTAGCTTTAGAATAATGCATACATCTTAGGCTACAAATTCCTAGATAGCTGTATTTAAGTCCAAAGTATTTTTATGCTTCTAATTAATAAATACTAATTTAGAATTTTAATAATAATCTTTCTTTTAGCTTTGTGATAAGGTACACTAGTAAATCCTTTAGCCATAGATTTCTAGGTAGTTACATTTATTTTTGTATGGGTTTAACATAAAAATAGTAGCTTAAAATTCTAGTTAGAGATATTAGGACATATATTTACATTAATTTTATAGCTAGTTTATTATTAGGAGATGTAGTATTAAATTCTAAGAAACTAAGAATTTATCTATAACAATAAAGTAGAAATTAAACTAAAGTAGATATATTAAATATCTAAATATTAAAAATATAGAAGAAAAATTAAGTAAAAGTAGAATTAAAATTTATTCAAGCTAAAGATATTTAGTAAAAAAATCTTTTAAAAAAGGCTAGTTTTATAAGTTTAAATTTTATACCTATTCTAAAAAAAGCTAACTACCTTTGCTTTTTAAGTTTAGCTTTTATATTTTTAGTATAGTAAGTTCTACAGTACTTCGTCTCTAGAGAAAATTTTAAAATATTTTCTAAACTTTTTTTTTATTAAGCTTTTTCTTGCCTAGAACCTCTATATAAGTAAAATAGTATTTTTAGTAATAGTTTATTATTTTAAAGAACATACTGTAAATCTTATACTTATAAGGCTTTTTATTTAAGTAAATTCTTTAATATTACTTTTTAAGTACTTTAGTTATTTAAAACTATATCTATATTCATAATACTTATACAGCTTTTTATTTAAGTAAGTTACTTTATACTTATTTAATTAATCTATTTTTATAAAACTGTATCTATATTTACAACTCTTATATAGCTTTTTATTTAAGTAAATTCTTTAATATTACTTTAAGTTTTCTAGTCTCATAAAACTACGTCTACATTTGCGATATTTATATGGCTTTTTATTTAAGTAAGTTACTTTATAGTCCTTTAATTAATTTACTTTTATAAAATTATATTTATATTTACAACACTTATACAGCCTTTCGTTTAAGTAAATTCTTTAATATTAATTTAAGTTTTTCTATTTTTTAAAAATATATTTATATTTATGATATTTATATTATTAACTTATAAAAATAGACTTGTACTTAGCTGATTTTAATATACTTATATTTTAACATCTACTGTTTATACTTTTTTTTTTTTTTTTTTATGTTCTTAAGTTACTTTATTTATAAAGTTTTAGTACTAGTTAAGTTTATAAACATGCTAATATTAAGCATTACTATTAAAAGCATTATAGCTTTTATAAATATTTTTAGAGGTATTTTTAATTACTATTTTAGACCTATATTCTATAAACTTTAGCTAATATAAGCCTAGAATACTAAATTTCTAGATACTAGAATGGGTTAGTATAAGACTAATAATTACTAGTATACTAAAGTATTCTCTTAAAGCTAGTTAGCAGAAATAGATATTAAAATATTTAAAGAAATATATTCC